TCCTTTCCTTTCCTTTCCTTTCCTTTCCTTTCCTTTCCTTTCCTTTCCTTTCCTTTCCTTTCCTTTCCTTTCCTCCCCAGAAGAATTGTGCAGTTCACGATACAGAGTTTCCCATGTCACTCTGCCCCATCACAGGATAAATTGCTTATTTGTAATACTTATATTCCAATGAGAGCCATTTTGGTGTGGTAGTTAAGAAGTCAGGAGGCTGTGAGTCTCGCCTTAGGTATGAAACCAAGTGGGTGACCTTGGGCTGCTGCTTCTCTCTCAGCCCTAGAAAGAAGAAGGCAAGGGCAAACCACTTCCAAAGATCTTGCCAAGAAAACTGCAGGGACCAGTCACCAGGAGTCAACTCTAACTGGAAGGTGTACACACACACACATACACACACACACAAAACTAAATTCCACCTGGAGAGAGCTGAATATAGTGTACATACTATTCTCTTTTCTAGTTTTTCACAAGGACACCACCACCGTAAGATGAGCTGAGGGTGAGTGACTGGCCTGAAGTCTTAGTGTGTTTCCATGGTTGTGAGTGGACTTGAGGCTGGGTCTCCCACTATTGTTCTAGTATCTTAACCATAATTGATGTGTTCAGCTCTGTGTCTTAATTATTCAATCAGAGTTACAAGGAAGGAAGGAAGGAAGGTTCTAGATCAGAATGTTGCTGTCAGTACTAAATGTTCATTTCTTTCTGCCACCTAGTGGTCTGATCAATTATTATCCTGCTTTTTGCCAAATTTCCAGCATGCTGACTGTGAAATCCCATCACCACCACCTTTTAAACCCTTTTAAAGCAAGGATTACACAGAATCAGATCAGGGATAAAAGCCACTTTTTGTCTTCCTTTGGTCATTTGCAAGAAGATTTTAGTTCTTTATGGAGGTGAATGACAATTCATTTATGGGAGAAATTAAATGGGGTTATAAATGATGTGAGCACTAAAGTCAACGGATGCCCTTGCTTAAGAATCACATCTGCTTCCAACTAGTTATTGGTAGCTGTTTTCTGTCTTAGCCATTGTCAAATACTGCAGAATATTGGGAACTCCAACTAAGAGTAGACTCAGCGAGTGCCAACGGCCTTGGAGAAAGATTTTTTTGCAGTCTCATTTCTCCCCCTATCCACAAAACGCTCAGCTAGCCTGCACCATTCTCCTCATTCCTTTCTGTTTTTCTCCTTTTTATTTCCTCCTTACTCTGAGTGTCAACAGTGGATGGGCAATTATGTCTACTAAGTTGAGGCTGATGTGCGTTTTCTCCAATTATTTTTGTTACACAGTATGGATGCTTTCTTCCTTCTTTATTTATGTCTATTGTTCGATTTGATTCAGTGTTCAAGGTGGCTAACAAAATTAGAATACGAAACACAGGGCAAGTTCAGAAACTAATACCCAAATTAACAATTACGCTGTCGAGCATACTGCACGGAAATTTCCGGGTCGTTCCCTATCCAAGACCTAATCAACAACCACTATGCCTCTCGGGATAATAACAAGTTGGACTTTACTTTTCTCTGGCTTCCTAAAGATGTATATTCCTTGCATGTATAGAACAGAGGAGGAGGAAGAAAAGGAGGAAAAACAGTAACATTTTGTAAGACTAAGAAACCAAGGGGGAAAAGAAATAAAAATCTCCATACTAATTTTTCTTTTCTTTAGAAGGTAAAATTCCAAGGATAAGGACGGGCAGGAGTAACATACCTTGCCTTTTCAATAAAAAGATAAAGGAACAGGAGACACTTTCCAAGGGAAGCTTTTATTTGCTGGTAGGAAATATTTCTGGCTTTCCTTAAAGAGCACCCATGCACCATAGTGCAGTTCTAGACCTACAATGATCCCGTTATCTTGGTCTCAGTGTTTCCACCCTTCAGGCTCTCAAGTGTCTTGGCAAGAGAGTCTACCTGTGACAGTAGATGTAGGTTCATAGTAAGACTATTTATATATAATTGTAATGTAATATATAATAATATATATAATTGTCAATCAGAGGTAAGCATCTTAGGACTATCTAAATGGTCTGAACTACAATTCCCGCAATTCATTGCCTTTGACCATGCTGGCTAGTGCTGATAGGAGTTCAAGTCAAGCTGCTAGGCTATATAATTTTTGCACCAAGAAGGGAGCAGCCAAAAAGCCAATGAACAGACTTCTCTGCTCCTTGATTCCATATTCAGCAAGGAAAGGGATAAATCAGCCCTTCCCAACTGTTTCTCTTCCTGTCAACTATATAAATAAACATGTTCAAAAGCTAAACTGTGAAGTCACTCCATGTGATGTTACATGCATTTCAGGAATGATATTAAAGTTCTCTTGATCTTTTCTTTTGAGTTGCCCTCAAAAGGAATGGACAGTTATAAAGGAATAGGATATCTATGGATGGTAGGGAGAGAAACTGATAATGACCAGCAGGGTTGCTATCTCTAACTGAATCCCACAACTTTAGTTGCAGTAGTAGTAATCATAATAGTAATAAAAATTTCTTGGCTTTCCTCAAGTAGCAAAAGGCAGTATACTTGGTGGGGGTCCCTATGGATAGTCTCTGCAACAACCCTGTAAAATAAGGTGGGTTGAGAGACAGTGACTAGCCCAAAGTCACTTGTTTCCTCCATATTCCACTGTTATAATGGAAAATGTGTTTAACTTGGGTACCATAGTTGGCATTCTGCCTACAATAACAGAATGATCTCATTTGCAGCTTGACTTGTGATGTGCAAGGTTGCATTTTTAAAGAACAGTTGTTTCACTGAAACCAAATTTAATTTCCCCTAGTTGAAATCCAAATAGCATTGGCTGAATTTAGCCTACAATACGTAGAGAAGAGTATAGAACACATCTTATATGGCATTCTTTCTGAATCAATCTCAGTCATGAGATGCTAAAGGCCAAGGAGCGACATAGGAAGAGATGAATGCCGGTAGGACTCTGCGGCACAACAAAAGGAAATATTAGAAACATTATAACTGATTTGGTAATTAAAATTATGGATCACTTCTTTGACTCTGATGTCCACGTATATTTAAATTCTTCCTCTGTTTCTACAGTTTTTTTGTATGCTTGACTGGGTCCCTTCATCATGAATCCAAGAACTAATATTCTTATATCTGATCTGGGATCAATGGCTACTAGCTTTGAGGACAGTGGGGTTGCCTCTGAAGACCCTCTGCTGGGGGACCGGTGGGCTTCCTTGTGCAGTTGGTCGGCCACTATGAGAACAGACCACTGGACTAGATGGGCCAGGGGTCCGATCCAGCAGGCACTGCTTATGTTCTTAGGGTAATTATGGGAGATGATGTCCAATCATTCCAAAGACTTCCAGGTTAAGAACTCAGATAAACTTGGTTAACTTCCAATTACTCCCATCCTCCACTGTTATGAGCTACTCAAAGGCAATTATTCTATATGCCATTCAGCTTCAATTCCCAGTACAAATCTATAACAAAAACCTGAACCATTGTAGGATGGAGGAATTTTAAAAGGTAGAACTAAAAAGAAAGCTACATCAATGAAACACTTCCTACTTCTCAGAGTTAAACCAAATTGAACTGACATAGACCCTCCAGTCAACAAGAAAAAAAGAAATCGTTTTTAAAATACTATCAACGGTTAGGGATCTCGCAATTGTAATCGATTGCTACCGATAATTTCTTGAAAGAATAAAAGTATTAAGTCCTAAATTCGAAGAGTTTTACCAGCAAAGGACCGTCACCCCGAGTCCAAAGTTAATGAATGAATGTGTTACTTGGGATAATTCAAGCGGCTTTTATAGCGAGACCCCCG